TGGTGGCAGACCACACTTTAAATAAACTTTGCATTAGAGCTCCAAAAATGTGAACCGCAAGCAATGAATTAAACAAATGCAGAGAGAGGATCCCCAGGGAGCCCTGGGCTCACCACAGTCTCCGAGTGCTTTTAACGGGGTGGAAGTTCATCAAAAGAAAGACAAATCCAGCTTATTACAGTATTGGGATGCAATGCTAAAGGAATTCTTTCCAAGTAAATTACATATACCTGCAAAGACTTGAAAAAACCTTTTGAAGATACGGAAAGGGAGGAGAGCATGAACACTAGGCAAAAAAAAAAAAAAAAAAAAAAAAAAAAAAATTTAAAAAAAAAAAAAAAAAAAAAAAAAAAAAAAAAAAAAAAAAAAAAAAAAAAAAAAAAAAGAAATCTACATTTATCATTAACAAGTAAAAACCATGCAGCAGCTCATTCTACCCACAATTACACACATGACTAAGTTTAATCAGGCCCTGAAGTCAAGAACAAACAATGAGTGTGAGCACCATAACAATCGTGTTTAAAATAAATATTACATTCCCTGCTTGGCCTCTGATGGAGCAAGGGATGGCAAGGCAGGTGGCACAAGTCTCCTCCTGGCAACAACTGGGACCTTCAAACAAACTCTCAGAAACCTGATTACGTTTCTCTGGTTTGCTCAGGTGTTTCTGAGAGCTCCCAAAAAAATACCTTGAACACTTTTAGAGCTCTCTAAAGAAGCAGGGATTATGTGTGAAAAAATAAATCATTTAATTATTGGTGGCAAAGATCCCACTAAGCTGACTTGCATCTCGAAATTTCAGCAAATCCAAAAACAGTGAGGCAAGGTATCTCTTTCTATCAATTTAAATTTAGGCCTGATTCTGATAGTCACTCCATTTTATCACTCAAGCAAGAGGTATCAAACCAGCAAAAGTAAAATTTCAATTGAAATAAAAAAAGAAGAAAAGGGCGGTAGCAGTGACATCAAATGCGCTAAACCAAACCTATGAAACTGAAATTTTTGGCACGCAGATTAAGCAATAAGTCAGAGTCACAGTGCTCTGTGCAAACAGAGAATTCCTCATTAAAGAAAAAAATAGACAAGAAAAAAAATACACGTTACTTCTCAGTAAGTTGGATTAAGAGTACCTCTTAACACTTGCTTCTAAGAATTATGGATCACTTCCTCTGTAATAACTTCTTTTAAAATTATTTTTCTAGTCGTAGTCTCAGGAGAATCCAGCGTATTTGCATCCATAAGAATGTTTTTCCTGTATTTAAGATGCCTTTCCCCAAACCACTTCTGTAATTGTACATCCACTCAATGGCAGGCATGCATGAAATAGCACAGAAATTATGAATACCCTCGAGCAGCAGGAATGGATTATATTTTGAAATATACAGAATAACTTATAGATATTTTGAGCCTTATCCAGCAAAGCCTTTCTCCTAGGAAATACATGTGTGAATGAGAACCATAAAAGATCCTTTATTAGCAAAAAATGAAAGACAGAAATAAAAAGGTTTTGTTTCTCTTAAGTCATTAAAAAACCCCTCAATTTTGATAAATCAAAGTGGAAAGGGGTAAGTTGAACTAGAAATGGAAGCTTTTTGCTGATTTATTTTTATTTTAGTTATAGAGATTCCATCTCTATTCCACTGCAGTCTGTGACTGCAGGTTTTGTTCGATGACTACGCTTCACTTTTAAAATGATTTTAAAAATGTTGCCATCCTCAGTAGGTACTATATGCTTTCAAGTAGGTTCCAGGACTTTTAAAGTGAAAATATTATAGAAACATCCCGTTATTTACAGGATACATGCTGACAGGCCATACAGCTAAGCTTTTATATTAAATGCATATTCCACACAGCTAATAGTTCCATTCACATGCAGCCCCCAAAGAGATTTGGGTAATGCCTCAATAAGCATAACTTCTAACTGTAGATTGGGAATGCTCTTATTATTTTTTTTCTCCTCCAATTATGAAATGCAAATTGTGAAAAGCAGAATTTGCATCTTAACTTGACTTATATATTATCTCTGCCTTGCACCTTATGAAATTGCCAGATATTAAGTTACAGTTAAAGCTGCATCAAGACCATCGTGGTGTACTGGAATCAGAATGATTTTATTTTACTTCCTGGGCTCAATTGTGTTTTGAAAAGTAAGATCTACTTTTTGTCTTTACATATTTTTAAGATGTGTAAATTGAGAGTCATAGGTCAGCTGTTATTAACTAAAAGTAACATCTGTCTGCCCAAAGAAGCATTTCCTTCCACTGGATATCTCTGATTTAAGAACAACCTGCTAGAGAGTTGGATAAACCTCATTCTTGGCAGTTGGCTAACCCACTAATTATTGTAAATTTCTACTTTATCCTTAAACACATCTTTATTTCGGCAAATAATTAAACAGTTCATTTAGTGACCTTGTTCCACAAATCCTAGTTCAGTTCCTTGCTGCTATCATGGCTACTTTCACTAAGCTTAATATTATCCAAAGCACATTGCCAAGTTTCATTAAAAATGTTGATTTAGCCCTTGAATAAATTGCCACAGTAATACTAGATGTCTATATGGATAAATTCAATTCAAGTCCTTTTCCTGCCACTGCACCCACACACAAAGCATGAGAAAGGCAGCACTCCTTTTGCTCCAATTTCTGTGTCAAACAGATTTTTATTTGCATTCTTCTGAGTATTTTTGGTCATATCTACGAATATATTTTCATTCCAAGGAGCAGAGAATTGCCACACAACCAGCCTCAACATCCATAAATCTAAAATATTTGCAGAAATAGTATCCTTTAGGTTTTGATGACTTAGTATTTACTGTAGATGCTCTTGAATTTGAGATAAATGGTACTTTCTTAGCATACTGTGAAGTCTTATGAGAAGTATATGAAAGTTAAGACAATTTTTGTTAAAAGTTAAGACAACTTATGTGGCAACACTGAAAAACTGCATTTTCAAGAAACAGTCTGAAAGGCAAAGGGAAAAGAAAACCTTGGGCGCTTTCCTTTGCTTAAAAGGTACTTTTAAGTATTTTTTTTTAGGATTTTGTACCAAGGAGCTCAGGTATAGCAGCTTTGGGTGGTGGTGTTGGGTTTGTGGCAGCTCTTCCCTGGCCTGGAGAGCGCTGGTGATGTCACCAGAAATTCCACGTGGGAAACAGCCCTAAAAAAGCTCTATTTGATACAGCAAGACCTGTGGGAGAAGGGTTTTTTGTGTGACTTGGCCTCGAAGCATTTCCATTTGTATTTACATTAAGGAGCCAGCCCTGGCTGCAGGTCTGAGCAGGAGAGCCCAGGAAGGAGGGAGGATTCCTTGGTGCATTTGCAGATGTGATCACGAAACCAGATCAAATCTGGCACTTGATCCCAGAACATGCCCCCCATCTCCCTGTTTGTGATGGAGCACTTCCAGAGGTGAAGGAATTTCAAAGTTAATTTCCACCCCTTTGCTTGGATAAATAAGTTTTAAATTTTTTTTTAATTTTTTTTTTTTTTTTAGCTCAGTGACACAATACTGGAAAACATTTTGGGCAGGACCCCAACGTGCTGTCAGCTTAAGACAAAGCCCTTTGCAGCACCAAGGATCTGGCATTCCATCAGCACAAATTACTGGAGTAATTACAAATTACTCCGTAGAAAAAACACCTTTATTTGTGAACTGGATCACAGCACTAATTCTACATCTCCCCACTTTTGACAGGCTGATGAGAAGTGAAAATTATTAGCCAAGCAAATTGACTGAAAACCTGATTAGCAGCTGGCAAAAGACTCCAGGTGAAGTTCAGAAACTTCAGTTGAGAAAAATAACCAGCAAAGTGGAAATTATTTCAGTTCAGCTTTTGTAAGGTTTCAGGTAAACAGGGATATTTCCTATCTTCCTATCTAATCCAAGAATTGCCACATGAAGTGCAAAAAAGGAAAATGGAGATAGAGACTGATAGAATGGATGTCCCATATGTCCACTCTCAAATTATAACTAATTATATTGAAGCCAATAAGAAGAGCCACTCTTTAGATTCAGCCCTGACTCAATCTGTAAGCAGAGCAGAAATTCTTTGCACGTATGAAAATCATAATGCTGCTCTGTTTCTGCTAAAATTTGCCTTATTTCAAAGAATTAAAACAAAAATATCACTTCTTAGTTGTCCCCCTACACACAGGACTCAGAAATTCATAAACAGACAACTACTCAGTCCAAGGCCTCTGTATATTTGCAATACCTTGCCTCCATAGGTTTCCCTTCAACAATCAGTATTAAATAAAATGAACCCAAATTTCAGACAAACACAGGCAGGTTGTCAAAATCCAAATTTGACCAAATCCAAACTGACCAAATACAGAAAAGAGCAAAAAAGCAAGGTCTGACATATTTCTACACCATCCTAAAAAAATGCAGTTTCTTAACTAATAAAACAGGGTTGTAAATGCAAACATTTCTAGCTGGCATCAAACCACAACTTTTACGTCAAAATGAGATAATTGTCCTGCTGATTTAAACAGAAATCTTTGCTAATCATGGGAAATGTCTTTGTAATCTACTTGTGTCCATGGCTGTTTAAAGAGTTAACAATCTATGGACTATTGCAGATAAAAATGGAAAAGATGTATTTCCAAATGTAATGTGCCATATATTTAGGAAAAGAAACCTGTTTTTTTTTATGAAACACTACCAATTCCATCAGAGCTCTAAGGGAACTTTATGCACACCTATAAGCACCTCCCAGAAAACATGGAAACACTTCCAGAAGTTGAAATGGACACAAGAAAAATACTTTGTGTTGTAAGAACAGACTATTTTTTCTGCCTGGAGACTTCATGTTCAGAAAAAAAAAAAATCTATCAAAGATGGAATTGAGACGTAATTTCTTTGCACTGGAATCCTGAAGGCAGAATCTCAGAACCTCCTCAACCAGGGGTTGTCCATACCAAGCTGGGTTTGGAGTCCCATGACCCCAGTGAGGTCTGTGAGCATAAAAACATTTCAGTACATTTAAAACCTGCTTACTTTTCCTGGGCTGGCTGCTCTGCCTCGTAATTAGCCACTTTAGCTCCTGTGCCTGCAGGTTTTGCTGTCCTTTGCCTTCGTTTTCTCCTGGGAGCTGGGTCCACGATGTCTGGGCTGCCCAGCAGGGAGGAATCCCTTCGTTCCAGAGCTGCTAAGAGGAAAAGCAACCAAGGTCAACAGAAATCTAACATTTGAAGAGTTTCAAGACAACCCTTACAATATTTATTTTCTGCATCTTTCCCATGAAAATCTCTATAGTCCCAAGATGGCCTCAGGACTGGGAGAAGTTCGTGACATAAAGGCAAGTTAAAAAACACTGAATTTAGACTAGAAGATAATTTTCCCTCTGTGCCTCTGTAGCCAGCAGAGAGAAAGACCAGCAATCTTAAACTGCACAATCTGTCTGGATTTTCACTGCCTCCTTTGCTGAAGCTGAGTGAAGCAGGCTCTGTCCAGGTTCATCTACCTATTTAAATTACCACGTAAATTCATAAAATATGCTTTATCTACACTTAAACAACAAACCCCTCTCAACTTTCACAATTACCTACTAAAAACTCAAATGTCAAGATGAGCATATCATTCCTCAAGCAAAAATCCTCCATTAAAAAAAAAAAACAATTAATGCATTCAGAAGTTATGCAGACATTTTAATTCCAGCTATCAACATCCTGCAGTGTATTTTCATTTGGTATGCCTGCTTTCAAAATGAAATCGTAAATTACCTATAATTTTCAAGACAACGATATCCAGAACAGCACAAATTTCAGCTGGAATATATTCAATAATGTGGTGATTGAGGCTGAAGCTATTAGGGTAACTTCCCTGTTTATTACGTTTCTGTGCATTTTAGGGTGGTTTAATCCTCACGTGGATGAAAGATGCCATAATTTGAGATTCAACACAAACGTTTTTCACAGAATGTAAATAACGAGTCTTTTTCCCCCCTTCCTTTCACAATTGTTATCCACGTGTACTGAAAATGAAGCTGGGCGGTAACACACAGCCCACAAGTGGCATTTTCACCATTTCTCAAAGAAACATCTGTTTCTGGCCAAGAACACTGATAAATTAGTCAGAGGCTCTCTAGAGCCTCTGCCCTCAGTGAAGCACATACTTAACATTTAATAGTATTAAATATTCACCAGCATGCACTACAATACATCACAGACTTGCAGATAGTTGCAGGGTGACAACAGGTAAAAAACAAGTTCCAAAGCCCAGCACAGACAAGACACATTCCTACAATAAATGCTGAGAAGGGTTAGATGACACCCTAAGTCTCCATACTTAACTTTAACCAGATAGGCATACTTCTCCAGTGTTAAATGCTGAAAATATACTTACGATAGTTACTCTATGCCTGTCTGGGTCAGTGTGTCCAATTTGCACAAACACTATTTTATATATTTAGACATCACTAGTCAAAGTTGGCCTCTTCATAATGAATGCACACAGAACAGTTTGCTGTCAAGAACCCAACAAACTAGAATAATTTTACTATCATAACTCCTATCCTTGCTCTCTGCTGTTCTCCCACACTCTCTTTTTCAGCCAAAAAGTAGATCCAGAGGTGAACCTCATGTACAAAACCTATATTTTCCTAGCATCATAAAAAATTTCTCTCTGTTTTCACCTGTGCAATGTGCACTGGTGAACACAGCCCTCATTCTCAGCAATTTTTTGCTGGTTAGACACATAATTCTTCTCTGAAATTAATTTTAAAAGTACTTTATTTTCTTCTGTTTCTAAAAAAATAATTTATTTTAATTATACCAAAAGAAAGGCTTAAAGATTGAATTCAGGCAGGCCAGAATTCAATCTCACAAATAACAGCAGATTGGCTTATGGGTAAGGGTTGATGACCACAGGCTTGAGGATTTATTTTTGGTGTTTGTTTCTCTCCTCTAAGCTAAAACTCTCAGAATTGCTGAAAAAAAGATGGAATACACTTGACTCCCACAGTACCATGCATCACCACTGGACTTTAAACACACACCCACTACTGCTACCCAAAAATAATTCCCATTAATGAATTCATTTATAGCCCTTGACTAAAAGCCAAAGAAAGCTTCAGCAAAATATTATTCATTACTCAATGTAAAAATCTTTTTAAAAAAATGAGACACAGTCTTAGGCACAAACCTAGCTTTTCATCCTGAAAATATTTTCTGTCCAAATTTAAGCAATGTTTTAAGGAAGGAAAGTTCCTTGACTCCTCATGAAATTAAATTTCTCACTTTTATATTATGTAATTCAATATGAATGATTGTTATACCTTTGAGAGGAATGGTAGCAATTTAAACACAGAAAAGACTCCTGCTGGATGAAAAACAGTAATTAAACCTCCCACACCAAACATTGATTAAGAAAAGAAAATATTTCCAACAGATAACATATTTTCTGCAGGTGAGTAACTTCAAGAAAAAAGATGGATAAGAGAGCAAGAAGGGGATCATGGTTCAAGTACTAGAAGAATATTTGTGCCCAAGAGATTAAAGGCTTTAAATAAAAACTCTGTGATGGTTGGAGGGTTTTTTGTTGTTTGGGGGGTTCTTTTTTTGTAATTTCAAAGGGTGATATTATTTGGTGGGTTGAAGGAGCTTTCCAATAGGGTATTCTAAGATAAAACTGAAAATTAAAAATAGCTGTCATTGGTTTGGAAGAGACAGACTGAAATTAAATCAATGCAGCCCCACAATACTGGGGACCTGGAAACAGAAGATGCCTTTAATACAGAAAAATGTCAGGACTCATAAGATGTTTGGAAATACAGCATAAGGATCTCTGAAATGACAGAAATTAATTTCTGCAGCGTAGATAGAGGCAGGCAGTCCTGTTAGATTCTACAATACACTTTTGCATTACTTTATTCTTATATACAGAAGTCAATTGTTTAAAAAGAAATACCTTCCAATCCGTCATATTCACCTTTCAGTGTGAAAGAAACAACTCTGTGCATCCTCATTTATGTATACCATCACCTCTAATGAAAAACCCTACAGCTTTGACTTGCCTAATTATTCCTGACCATGTCACTGAGAAAACAGGATCCAGATCCTCTCAGTGCAGCAATAAAGGGCTAAAATCAGCACCAAAAGCTTAGTTTTGCCATAAAAAATACAAACAGGGACCAAAGCAAGCAAAAAGCAAGCAGAAGTTTTCCAAAACTGAGGACTTTGTTTGCCTGCAATGACCTAACTTCACACAGATAACTTCACAACAGCCCAAAATACACAACCTTGAGGTCCAAATTATGAATGATGGACCACAAGCAAGAAAAAAAGCTGCAATTCATCAGATTTTACCTACAGGAAGCTCAGTCACAGACGTTACTTCTCCTCACCTTGCTGTTATATAGTCAAGATGAAACAAAGGATTAAATGGATTCAAAGAACATTCACATTTTCAGCTGGTACCAGTAAATGAAATGTATTTAGTTTGAAAAAAAAAAAATAAAAATTATTTAAAAAAAAAAAAAAAAAGAAAAAAGAAAAGAAAAGCCTTGCACAGATTGTTATAGAAGAGGAAATATTTTTAAAGGACACAGGCATTTATCCTGAAGAAAAGCATTTATTTAAAATTATCTTCCTGGAGATTTCATCAACAGCAGCACAGGGTTCCGACAATTTTAATTTCTCTTCTGAATAAAAATTCAGTTTTTTCATCAGAGTAGTAAAGACTTAGGAAAATTTGTTCAGATGTTCAGATATTGACACTATTGTAGTCCCCCTAAATTCCTCCAGAGCCCTCCTGCTAGCAGAGCAGAACTCCCTGGTTGAATTCTGCCCAACTCCAGGGAGCATGTGTTGCTCCATGGAATTAATCATCTGGACTTCCAAGTTCTGCTCCTTAGTGAAGCTGATGATTTAAGGTAAAATCAGCACCAGTGTTAGACAAAATGGGCTGAGAGGCATCTGGAGAGCAGCAGGAGTGCCTGTGAGAGCTGTCCCCGGGCTGCCAGAGGAAGGGGAAAGCAGGGAGGGAGCAGAACTCCTCACTTCAATCCCTGACTGCAGTGTAACTCCAGCAGTTCCGTGGCTCCTCAATCCCAGCATAATTCCCCAGGGATCACCGTGGCTGATGGTAATTAGCATCTCTCTGACAGTCTCAGCAGAGCCTCCTAAATGGATGGGTATGGAAATTAACACATCCCCGGGATGCAGAGGCAATATCTGCAAAGCAGGATTAAGTCATTCCTGACAGGCAGCTGAGGAAGCACCATTCCCACCACACTGAAGTTACCCCATGTGCACAGATCCTGGCATTTTTCATGAGAAATTGGTTTATTTAGATCACTCAGAGATATTAAACACTGGTGTTTACAGTCCATGCATCTGTGGCAGTGAAAGCAACAGGAATATGTCACTATGCCATTCCCCCTTCCCTTTGTCCTGCCCTACTGTATATTTAATTCTTTGTATAAATTTGGGTTTGCTGTACCATAATCCCCCAGGGCCAAGAGGCAATTGAGACCAATGTTCCATAAATTCTCTGTCAGCTGGTTATTAACATTTATTTTTACAAAGGATATCTCCATGGGAAGTGTTTATGAAGACACATTTTAAAACAACTCCAGCAAGAAGTTTAGTTCTAGCCATACAAAATTTATAAATTGTATTCAGCTCAGTAAGGAAGTTTACATTTCACTCTTCTAGGGTGTATTACCACTGAGTTTTCTATTTACAAAGTCTATTCTTTTCCTGACATCACCCTTTTCTAAAAGCTGTTTAAATACAACACTTTTATTAAAAAAAAACCCAAAAAAACCCAAAAAACAACAACAACAACAACAAAAACCAAACAGAAAAACAGAAACCAAATAATGAACCCCACACAAAACACCCTCATTTCAAACCTGCAGGAAAAAGAACCAAGTTATGATAAAATCTGTTTGCCATGCAGTTTCCTTCTCAATGCTTATTTATTTAGGATAATTCAGGTGCTCATCTGTTGCCATCTCACATTGTCTTGAAATTACACTGGGAAAAAAATTAGGGTAAATCGACACACAAATAAATTTGGCCAGGAAGCACAAAAAAGTCTCTTTCCATCTATCAAAATACACGAGGATAAAAAAAGAATGCATTTTACACAAATCCAAGAGATTCTGAGGGAGCTCATTAATTTTAATCATCAAAACTATGATCT